ACCTTGTATAATTACAAGAGCACTTTATACCCTTTTAAAGTATTGTATAGTATCCGGTTATTCATTGAATAAAAACAATATTTTGATGAAGCAAATTCACAGATTATGAACCGATGAAATTTCGACTAGAATTTAGTACTGATTTAAGTTTATTAAGCACCATATCATTGGACACTGATAAACCAGGTCATTGGCGTCTGTAATAAAGAATTATTAAGAAGGCTGCACATGAAGTAGTATCCCAGTCGTCAATTTATTTATTAGATGTATTATAGTATAATTATTACTTGTACGGAATATTTAAATTTTTAGGGAGTCATTTGTTAGTTGTATTTATATTAGTGATGATAGGTCGATAGTTATTAATCTATTTCTCGTCACCTCTCTTGTGTAACAGAACAGTTTTGGTTCCATTCCTAAAACATTTTTAAGAAATAGTCAAAGACGAATAAATACAAATGTGCAATTAGTAGAATCTACAGAATAAATGCGATTTAGAAAATAGACCTTAGACCGTCAACACATAAGCCAGCTAATAAAAAAAAATCTAACGAATATCAAATACACCTCTATATCTATCCAATTGATTTTACGAAAGCGTTCCAATTCTTAAAGCATGACGCAGTCTTTAAAAGCCTCCTCAAAGAAATCTAAGTTCCAATACCTTCAAAAAATACAATACTGGAACTTTATAAATAAAACAAACGCTAAGAAACAAGGGATAAAATTGTCATAAGCCGATTGAATAAATATTGCCATTAATCGATATAGAAAAATTAGTGAGAAGAGAAGGAGATCCGGCTCCACCATAATGGTCAGAGAGCCTCAAAAGAAAATTTTGAAATATTTATATTTAATATTTATTGAAATAATATTATAATTGAAATATTAAAAGAAAATATTTATATTTAAAAAATAATAGTCTGCCAGTTGGATTTTTATACCTTTAAAAATGGCGACTGTTTAAAGAATATTAGGCCAGAAACTTGATTATATAAACGTGTAGTTCATTGCGAAAAGTTTGTATTTTTTAAAAAACTTTTTACATTTTTTTTTTTTAACCTACAACTCCTACACGCTAATCGAAGCGAAAAACGTACTCTTTAAGAAATTAAAGAACGTTAAACTGTGCGTCGAATGAGTACTTAAATTTAATAATTTGGTTAAGTGGTATGGCCGAGTCAACAGACGCTGATTTATACTAAATTTGTCAGAAACTGAGACAAATTACTATAAATGGCCCTCCAGCTGGAAAATGTGTTCTCTGAGAGATAAAAAAATCATAGAATATAAGTTATACAGAATTAAATTCCGCGTCTACTAAGTACCCACAGTTTTAATGTAGATCAATTATACCTCTCGACTCAGGGTTCGTTATTTCTTCATGGAATTAGGTGTCTGTTGATACCTCGTTTCTAAAAATCCTTCGTTGCTGAGAGGTGGGAAAGAGTCCTACACTGTGTACAGTCTAGTATATATACTAGATTCCTAACAAGAATAACTCAGCAGAATAGACACCACACCCATACTGTTGAAATCCTTAAAGTCACAGATATCTTCATTACCAATTTCCAGCCATCACTATTCACTACCGATTTTGAGCGGTGTAAGTAGGTTAGTAAAGTTTAAATTCGGATTTAGCACATCAACAAACAAATAGAACAGGAGAAAACCGACTTCTTGAATTTATATTAAGTCTGACGACTATATGCCTGGAACTTGTTTGATTCTGATGCAGTCAGTTTTAAAAATGAAACAGAGTACACCGATACTCAAGGTGAATTTTCTTTTAGGGACATATAATATAGACACCATAAAAATTTTAGCAGTCAATTTTCCAGTTAAATGAACCGTCAAATTTTTCCATACCTATTTAAAATTTAGTTGTGTGTTCATTTAAAAATTATCAAGGATCTAAAACAGTTTCTATCCGTAATTCATTTCTTTGAATGAATCCGATAGTTGCTCCTAGTCTATAAGAACTATTCTAACATGAGTTTTGATTATCAAAAAACTGTCAGCCGCATTCGTAGTACATTTTTTTGAATAAAAAGACTATCTTACTGTTGCGCCAATCAGTTTTCGTTTTTTTTTTTTTAAATCGTGCTGGAAAAGATCTATAGGTACTCTCACGGGTAATCCCCAATTAATTCTATGATTAAAGAAATAATAAATGTATGGTGGGAAGTAAAAAATAAAGGTATGTCAGTAGTCTTCGATTGGGTACCAGCCCACTACGACATTTTCTGACCAAGCTGCCCATTTAGCTAGAAGGGAAGAAGAAACGGAAGCTAGAAGGGAAGATAATATTAAAAATAGTTACTTTAGAATACAGGGTACACCACACAAAGAAAACACTACTAGTATAGTGGGAGAAAGAATATAAAACCAAAGAGCGTATGGTTTACCGACTTAGGAGTGGACACTGCCAGTTTACATATGGCTATCTTCAGGGAGGACTTAAAGCACCCACCTGTGAAAAATGCGATAACATACCACAACCAGTGAAACGCGTACTGGAGGAATGTCCCCAATTTGAAAATAACAGAAGAAAAATAGGGTAATTATTTAGATGAGGACCTGAAGGGTTACGCGTGGTTCACAATCACTTCGGTCAAACTTGCTCATTGAGTGCCAAATGCGTCCGGATTTATCCGAAAGACTGTTTTCGGCGTTTCATGAACAAGTGTGACCGAAATGATTGAGAATTACCCGTAATCCGTCCGGTTCTCACCTCAATAATTAACAAAAAATAGGCTTAGTCAAAACATTACGAGAAATCCTATAGGATACTGAAGATCGAGTCACTACTTTGTTTAAATTTTTAAGTTAACAAAGTAATGCAAAAGAATATAAATCATGGTAAATCGCCAATAACAAAGAGAGAAATATATATATATATATATATATATATATATATATATATATATATATATATATTATATATATATATATACATATATATATATATATATATATATATACATATATATATATATATGTTATATAGTCAAAATGTTATATAAAAAAAAATATACTCAATTACACGATGTTTTCTTCATTTTGCTCTTGTTTTTTTTTTAACAATTACGTGTATTGCTTTACATCAATTAAAATGTATACGAAAATTATAATACCATCATATTAAATTGTTGGTTGTTATCATGAACCGGAAGAAATACTCCTTGGTATTTAGGGCATTCGAAGTAAATTACTTAAATATACAGTGGATCAAAAAAGTATTGGCACAGTTAACTTTTTTCAGGTTTCATTGTAAAAAATCCGAAAATAATTTGCTAAATATTTTACATTAATAAAAGATTTAGAAAAATGCATAATTGGGGTAAAATATTTTAAATTTACTTAATTAAAAAATGCAGTTAACGAAAAATCACTTCAGCAAGGCAAACAAATTATTGGCACACTTTAATTTGAGATTTATTTATTAATAATTTGTTATGATACCATTGACATCTATGCCATCCTGGAATCTGGTATCGACAAAACAAGATTTTGAGTTACGTCTTGTCCAATTTTACGCCAATCCTCTGACAAAGTTTCTTTTAAAGAAATTTTATTTTTCATAATTTCAAATCCGATAGGTAGGTACCATAAGTGTTCTATGGCATTTATGTCCGGAAACAGTAGTGGCGTTTTCAATTGGCTGTAGACTTTGTACAGCATCCATTCATTTGTTTTATTAAATCGTCATTGTCCTGTTAGAAGATAAATGCATCTTTGATACTCAGGTAATCAGCTCTCCTTGTTAATTATGTCGCAAAATGTGGACATATTGTCCGGCATTCATAATATTGTTTATAAATGTTATGTCTCCAACGCCATTCTATGACATGCACTCACAAATCTGGACACTTCCACCTCGATGTTTTACAGGAGGCCTCACATATCGATTTTGAACTTCAGTGTCCAGTTTCCGTCATTAGAATGGAGTATTTTAAACTTACTTTCATCTGAAAAGATAACCTTTTTCCAGAATTTTAAGTCTTTATTAAATTAACTTTTGGCAAACTCAAGTCTTTTTTTTTTGCGGTTCACTTCAGTAATAAAAAGTTTTTTCTTTGGAATCTGCCATAATAATAATATTTATGAATTTTATTTCTAACAGAAGGTGGTAATAAAAGTAAATATGACCTCTGTACTATCTCAACGACTGACATAGTGTCATTTTGTTCAACAATTCGATGAATATTCCTTTGTGCCATCTCATTAAATTTTTATGACCACTCATTACGGGGAATGTTTAAAACTCTAAACTTTTGACTACAATATAACTACAATATTTTGAACACTACTAAAACCAATTTCTAATTTATTCGCTATTTGTCGGTAGCTAAGTCCATTAGAATGAAATTTAACAATGTTTTCTTTTAAACTGATACAATATTAACTGGTTTTACCCATTTTGTTGTGAAAAATATACAGCAAAGATTGATTTTTATTGTACTACCGTCAATCCTCGTTTCTAATTTTTTGAAAGAAAAAATATTAATTTGTTTTGACTGTAGCTAATAGAAAACATTTAAAACTGTACCAATACTATTTTGACCCTGAAAATCTACTCTTTATGTTTACTTTGAACATAGCTTTTGAATTCCGAACTTTCATTGCTTCTAAAATATAATTCTCAAAGACCACTTTGAAATATTTTTTCTGGAAAATACCTTAATCCTATTGAGATTTACAGAAAAATTGATGTGCCAATACTTTTTTGATCAACTTTATGTATTTCAGAAAGAAACATGGTAACTAGAATAGATCGTCTAACATTTAAATAAACCCTGGTTCATAAAACAGAAAAAAAGGCTTAACAATACTGTTAGAATAATATCGATCCTAAATTTATTAACGGAGTGAATAAGACATTCATTTTAAGTTTTAAGTTTATCGGTAACTTCTTTACACATCTTAAATTGTACACACATTACTCCAAGAATAAAATAAATCGATGTATGGCTGAAAGGGCGTTTGTTGTTTAACCTCCCGTATAGAATAACCTGAGCTGTAAACATTTCAACTATGCGGTGAAAATCACTGTAATTTAAGATAAAACTCTAGATTAGGTATACAGTCAGTAGTTGTAGTATGACAGATTTGTCATTTTAAGTAAAATTCAATATTGGTATAGATTCAATTTTAGCCTTTTACAATGGCAAGACCAATAAATCCTTGTCAGAAAAAGCTAGCAGAGAAACTAATTCTCGTTAATGATCGAGGAATTGGCATGCTTACTAGAATTTATAATATCAAAAAGGTGCTGTACTGTTTTGTGTAAAGTATTAAGTCCTTGCATTTAATGATATATCTCATTTGTGTTTTTACATTTTATAGGCTTGTGGAGATGCCAAATCAAAACCAGGGTTTTTATCTGATAAGTCTCTGGAATCTTCAATTAAGTATATTGTTCGAAGATTTCCTAACATTGATATTAAAAGTGTAAGTACTAGTATTGTTTACTATTGGATTACTGTATTTAGTATTGAGATAGGCCCTAAAGTTTTTGCTCCCATACCAAAGATTAAATATTTAATGCTAATGGATATTAATAACCTTTGTACAACATAATTTTTTCCACAAATATTCTGTTGTTTTTTAACGTTTATGAAGAAATGGGTTAGTGAATTGCTTATTCTGGTCAGTATGCACTGTCAAACTAGCAAAGTATGTTCCCTTATCAATTTTTGCAAATCTCTGATGGAAATGTTATGATTTAGTTATTTTAACAACTTAAATTATTAACGATTAATATTCTGTTAAACTTTTGAGGTCTCTTGATTAATCCGCCCTATCATATTTTTTATCACTGTGCTATGATTAATTTGAATTGATTAAAAAAGATCAATAAACTATGGTAAATTGAATTTCTCTACAAATAACTATGAAGATATGAATAGACTAAACCAAGCAACATTTAAGAGAGTTTTCATTGAATTTATTACCTAAAATAAATTAATAGATCATCTGATTAACCTGATCTATACAATTTGTAATAATATTTGTTGTTTATAATTGTACTAAACAACAAAAACTATATTTATAAAAATCTAGGTAACTAGATTGACTATTAGAATTGTAAACTTAATTTAGATCGACTATTTGAATTATAAACTCAATTTGGATCGACTATTTAAATCGTAAACTTAGAGAGAGAAATACTTTATTGGAAGTTGTGCTGCCCTACTATATAGTGCTGCTTTTTACATAGCATACTGATCAATCCATATGGATATAGCTCTTACATTGTATTATTCCATTATTTTATAAACATATCATTTTTTTATTTTTGTTATCCCTTTTCGCAACACTAGTCCATATACCATATCATTAACAATACCACATTAAGTCATTACCATTATACAATACTTATATTTTATGAAAAAAAAGTATTTGAATGCTATAAATACAAGACTAAATCGTCCATATATATCAACGCGATTTCTTAAATATAGAAAGAAATAAAATACAAAGTTAAAAAATCAAAATTAAACAGAAAAATGACAACGGGCATCCCATTCACCGCCAATTGCTATACAAGTGATAGTGAATGATCCCTGGGAGCCTAGAAGAATATTCTCGGCCGATATCGCAAGCTCCCCAACATCAACACCTAGTTCCTCGAGGAAGCTCCTTGTTTTTTTGGATCGTTCCGCGAGACACACACCAGAGGCCTCTCATGGTGAACTCTCTCTCTCTCTCTCTCTCTCTCTCTCTCTCTGAAGGTTTCACGGAACTTCTCTTTAAGGAAAGGGATACATTTATCTTATATGTTTTTCTTTTCCCTTTCCACTTCACCTGATCGAGGTCATTGCTCTCAAAGCGGACAGTAGCCTCCAAGATCTGAGCTGTCTTTCCTGTCATGGGAAATGCAAAAATATCTGCATACTTGGTTGAGCCTTCATGGTTGATGCAATAGACCTCGTCAAAGCAGGTGAATTCCTTTTCTCTGAGGAGCCTCACCAGTTTAAACTTGACCCTATGGTGCCGGCGTGTTATGTGGAGGTTGTTGTTGGGGCATTTTCCCAGCACATGGGCTGGTATTTCAGACTCTCTGCTGCTCTTAAAACAGAAGGACCCAACTTCCTTCGACTGTCCACTGGTTCCTGTGACTCCGTGCAAAGGTGCATAATTGATGTGGAGTTTTAAGGCGTTGAACCATTCTGATCCTGAAAGCAATTTTGGCATACATATTTATTAGATTTCGGCGTTTCTTTAAAATGCCGAACTCCTACGCCTTGCAACCAGCAGCTGGCCCATTCTTCAAAAGAATTTTCTTTTAGTGACTGTCGTAGAGCTCTCACATTTCAGTGGCCTTGATCCATTCCCAGTCTTTCAGCGATTTCCGCATTGTAATCAAATGTGGACTAAAACAGAGCATCTGGTACATTGGACAGTCGCTGCGAAATGGACCAATGCTGCAAAGGAGGACAACGGATCAGTCCCAATCCTCGATATCTCCTCAGTGCATACAACAAAAAATAAATTAAATTTTTCAAAAGCAGTTGGAAAACATACACTGCCAAAATTAATGCTTGGGAATCAATAACACTAATTAGCATTAAATAAAACTAAAATATATATTTTTAATTATAAAACATTCATTAATCATATGTTTTATCTCTAAGATATGGAACAGTGCATGCATTATCCAATGCTGAATAGCCATAGATTATTTTCATAAACTAGTAATAATGTGGGTAAAAGTGAAAACATTACTCTGTCTTGAATTCAGCAAAATTATTATGAAGGATCCTAAACTAAATGTTCATAATGTAAAATTGAACTAAATGAATATATTAGTCGGTGGTGGGAATGTTTATATTTATAAATGTTAATATATATAGATATATTAATCTATTACACAGCTGTTAAAGTTAAATTATTACTATATTTTTACTATTATTTCAGCTTCAACCAATAACACAAATCCGAAGTGAAATAATCAAATCTTTATCCCTTTATTACTATACATTTGTTGATCTGTTGGATTTCAAGGACAATGTCTGTGAATTACTTACTACAATGGATGCCTGTCAATTAAATTTGGATATAGTAAGTATTTTGAAATATATTAATCTATTTCATTTCAGTAATTTGATCTGCATAATGTTTTTTTGTTTTTTTTCTGTCAGAATTCTTATGCTTCTGTCTCTTAAGTACCAATAGTATTTATTATGGAGAAATAATGGATGGAATTTGATAATATATACCATAATGTTTTCACCAATCTCCAACTTTGAACCGAATGGAATGAGCCATTTCTGAAATGTAGATGTCATAGAAAATACATTTATGCCGGAATAAACTAAATTATGGAAATTTTTTTTACCATACACACAAATATAACTCAGCCATATGAGAGGTGTCTCAGTGGTGGTATGTCTTTCCAAAACTCTTAACACATTGATAAATATTCAAGTGAATGAGAAGGTGTGCCAAGAGTACCCACACAAATCTAGAAAGTTAGGTTTGAATGAATAAAGAGACACCATTTATTAGTTACGGCCATGACTATTATGAAAATGATCTAATCAAATATTTACTAGATGAATCCTTTTGGACAAAAAAAGTTGTTAGTTGAAGAGGGTGTATTTTTAACAAATCAAAAACTATAGTAGAATCACACTGCTAATAGATTGAAAACAATTTGAATTGAAATATTGAATATAATATCTATCAAAGTAGATCTGAGATTAAATATCCATCGCTGAGAGAGCTATATGCTACGCCGGAGATCAAGATTCCATCAAAAGTGGAGGAAGTGCTGTCATCAGTGTATAATATCTAATGGGGACTAATTTGAAAGTGATATTTTTTTATATCAGAGGGTCTCCAACCTGGCTCGTGAAAGTTTCTTTGATTATATGCTTAAATTTTTATAATTATTTAACAATATTTTTTTCACCTCAAGCTGTGGGCCATGGGACTTAGTGGAGGTATCAATGTGGTCTCTGGAAATTATTTCCTAATCCATCGGCTTTTGACATTTTATTAGCTTCAGATACAATGCCATCCATAAAAATGTATTTTAAAGGATGGTATGCTAGAAATTGGGTCAAACACTCATCTTTTTTAAGTTGGAGCAAGGTTTTGGTGGCTAATTAAGATGCTGAGATGAGACCCTATGTAACGATAGTTAAGAAATAAGTAGGAATTAGAAGTGAAGGATTCTTTTGTTAAAAATCCAGCCCTGGAATTTTTATGAAACCTTATACGTGAAAACAAATAACAATTTCCAGAAAACAGTGGTAATATCTGAGATTAGAGTTTTAAGTTTAGGATCTGAATAAATTATGTCATCAAGAGACTGTCCTGAATATGTGTAACTACTTGCATCAAAGATAACACAATTTTTTTAAACCTTTCTATATTGGTGAATATAACATGAAATGATTTGCAGTGTAGCCTCATCCGCAGGGATCATAAGATTTATTGTAAAAATTTAAAAAAATTAATGTACATTATTTCAAAATCTAGGTTGCTTTTACTCATATATTGAAGCTCAATATAGTAATAGAATGTATTATTTTTTTTTCCAGTTTATAGATATAGATAGGAACTAAATCCCCCTTTGCTTTTTGTTATTCTCTAATTAAATTAAATTAAATTTCAATGTGTCTGTAATTAATATTAAATTGTTTCTTTGTTGTTTTTTTCAGACTGTCAATTTTGAGTTAACTAAAAGTTATCTTGATTTATGTGTTACTTATGTCTCTTTGATGATATTATTATCACGTGTAGAGGATAGAAAAGCTGTTCTTGGTTTGTTTAATGCTGCTTATGAAATGATGCATAATCAAAGGTAAGATGTATTAATTTATGGAAATATGGATATAAGTAGTTTGTGTGATTTTATACCACTATTAAAAGTTCTGAAAATTATGCCATTTTGTCTCAGCATTTTAGGGAAAAATAAATGAACCGCGTGTCCTCTCTGTCTAATCTATTTCCTTAGGAAGGGTTAAGTAGAAGATCTAAGCAAATGTATTTTGAAAGAAACTGACTCCTGTTATTATTTCTACTTTATAGTTATTGATAATGAAAAGCAGTATAGTTGATAACCATAATTATTGTAAGAAATTTGTTTGATATTGGTAAAGCTGTCAATTGAATTTATCCTTGACCATGGTTCTGATAAAAGAATTGTCAAGAAGGAAAAAACAATAATAATGAGTAATGATGAAGTTTCTCATTACAATTAGAGTTAGTGAACCTGAAGGTCTGGTACCTATACAATCGACAATTGAGTTATTGAATAAAAAGAGGTTTAAATCATTTTCATAAAAAATAATTAATTAATTACTGAGTGCATCAACTTCAGATTTTTAAGTAGTCCGATATGCTTGAGATTGCCTATTTTAACAGAGAAAGTAACCTGTTATCCTTAACAAGAAATACTTATTATTGTTTTATACCTAACTGTGTAAAACTTTCCCTAAAGTGTTCAATATCTATCTCTAAGCTTCAATTTTTGAATTGAATCACTTTTGCATTCAACTATTCAATTGTTGTCTTCATACCTCCTTGCCTTCCAATGACCCCTTTTAAAATAGCAGATCTTATATAGTTAACAATGTTCTGTTTCAACAGAATCATCCCACCTGCCTTTTGGTCTACCCCTTTGTTGTTTATCCATTGATTCAGAAGTATCAATTTTTTTAAATATATACATTCAATATCAAGCCCCACAACTTTTCATTTCATATTTATTTCGATCATCAAAATTCTTTTAATTCAGTTATATTTGCCTAATTAATACAGTGGATTCATCTTAGTTCAAGAATAGTAGTTAGGATCACAGTCTAGAAAATTCTGTCAGACTTCTGAAATGTGATGTTAATGAGTCATGTGAAACTTAAGTAATTGATGTGGCTAGCTTAATACAAGTTCCCCTTTCTTCCTCTTCTATATTTTATTAGTCATCTTAGCCTTGATCTAAGATGAGAAATCATTTACAAAAAATATCCAAACTTTTGGTTGATTATAATAATCACGTTAAAAATATCTCACCATTGTTCTTTTAAAAGATCTTGGTTTCTTAGGTTTCCCAGTAATGGTTAATTTGATATTATGTGTTTCTTGCTATTTTTGTACTTATAATGCTGCCTTTTCTATATTTTTTTGTTTTAATATTGACCTGCATGATGTTATTTTCTAATCTAATTCCAATCTTTATCAGTTTAAATCATTTATATGATCTGTTAATCCCATTTATATGAGTAGGTTGTGTTATATTTTATCCTATTATTTTCTACTTCACTTTTCTTATTTTTAAAATTCTCTCATTTTTTATTTATCAAATTTAGATCTTTTTTTCTAGGTTCAGAAGAAGGCAACTTTGTTTTCACTGGGATTTTCTTTTTGGGGACATATTTTGATATTCTCCATCAAACCATAATTTGTTCTTCTTACATTCCCTTTTACCAAATAGGAGACCTATTAACATGTTGACTGCCTAGGATTTTATAGGTTGTTTTTTAATATCTATTAGGCTATTATTTATTGGTTAGCATTCTTGCCTTGGGCATCAAGTACAATATACCTCATAACTTGTTAAGACCAGTATAGGACTTCAGTGGGAGTCTTGAACCGATGAAAGGAAAAACTATAACAACTCCTTACTACTCACCACCGAGCCAGATATCAAAATCGCTCTAGACCTCTTCAGTTTCCAACAGCAACCTCTTTGCCATGTTCTCCTGGTCACTCTCTGGCTTCTGCATCACCATCACCATCTCTTGGCCCCAACTCTTTGTCTGCAGCTCTTCAAGCACTTAATGTACAACCTTCCACCCAACCTCATATATCCTTCTCCTCCTTAAAGTCTTCCTACCCTCATCTTAAATCATGCATCAACAACCTTTTGTCACCTCCATTAACGCCTCGCAAATAGTAACAACGAATATTTCTTCTCAAATGGCGCTGTAATTCCATTTTTCCAAAATTTATCAAAAACTCTTGCAACCGTATTTTAATATCACCTCCGTTCAACTCCAAATTGTTAACTTCCGCTCTAAAAATCAAAAAATCTACTCAACTTAAACATCCGCAACTTAAACTGTTCAAAACATTCATTTTCTCAATATAAAAATTTCAGTTCTCACCAAATTTTTAGATCATAACATCAATCAAGAAGACGTCAACAATCTTTCCGTTTGTATCTCAAATATTTTAAATTCCACTAAAGCACAGTAGAAACTACTATTAATTTCCAAATTTAAAAATCTTTACTAAGCTACTCTCAAATTTAAATTTTATCCTGCAGGAAAAGAAGAATGGCTAAATAATATCTCATCCGTAGATATCCCCTCCATAGTTATTAACATTTTAAGATTAGGACTAAATTTTTCCACACCTAACACCTCTGTCAAAATCATTCCATAACTCAGTCCTTAAAGTCCTAGAATATATTTACACAGATGATCTTTTTACTGCTTCAAAAAAAAAATATGAAGTTGTGTTCTCTCCACGCTTGTCGGGTTGAACAGCCCTGATGAAGGCCTGAAGTTCGGGCCAAAACGTCGTCAAATGTAAACATTAATATTATTATTTATTTTTGCTATTTTTATTTTGACTGATCACCCCAACCATCCTTCTCTTCAGTGTTATTATTACCATTGATCGTTATTTATAAGTTGTTTTTTTTTCAAAGCGTTATTTTATTTCTCCCGATTATGCAGTAAGTCAAGAAACAGTTCGTGACTAATCCTTCGAAATTCTTAAATAGTATTTACAAGGTTTATAAATACATGAACAAAACAAGTTTCTTAAGATATTGTAATTAAAATAATGATGATTTTAATAATCAACAAAATCAAATAAACCATTTTAGTGATCAAAGTTTTCCCCGCTTGGGACAAATGATAATGGAATATGATCCTCCATTGAAGAAGCTGTCAGAAGAATTTGTTCCTCACACAAAACTTCTTCACTCTGCTTTACTGTCTTTAAGAACTGTTTATATGAATCGAAATTTGTCTGCTGATAAGTGGAGGTAATTGATAAATTATTTTGATATGCTGCTTATTAATCAAGTGGCTATTTTTAATTAAATATTTTTATATCTGTAATGTTTAATTTTAACTAGAGTATGATTGTATTAATAAAAAACTGATAATTTTTTTTTCTTTTTCCAAAGACCTGTTTTGGTTTTCAAACTTTATCCTAGTTTGAGGCAGGGCCAGAATCAAGATTTTTTCAAGGATGAGCAACCTTATAATTTTTTTTCTCTTTCTTTCAGCCCTCCGACTATAATAAAATTTCTCAGTTTTATAATAGTAAATTAAGTAATTACAAAATATTTTTCATCATTATTAATTAATTTTATTAACTAAACTCAGATCCAATTCCTTTGCTCCATGATTGTTCTGGTCCTGGTTTAAGGTAATTAATTGAAAACTAATGCATTTCATTTAAAAATTTATTTCTCATAAAATATCATATGCTTGTAAATATTTAGTCCATAGTTTGTTCAAATAAAGAATAAAAAGGTAATTGCCATGTTGCGATACAAATTGAGATTTCTACTCTCTTCAATTTACACCTGTAGCCTGTTAAGAAACAAAAATAATCTTCTTGAAACATTGAAATTTAAATAATCATATCCATAATAAACATGGAAATCAAATAAATAATTTTAGTTATCATTTTTTTTTTTTTAGCATTTTATTTGAACTATACAGATTTAATTTATTCTGCTTATTTTAAATATTCAAAACAAGCTTGGATTCAAAACCTCATCATTTCAACATTTAAAATTTTATTTCAAGAATTTATCCATAAACAAGACATTTATATATAACTGCTACTTTATATTTGTTTCCTGTAAGATATAGAGTGGTATGCATAGTCATTCCTCTAACTTCACTGTTTTTCTAACTACCGTTGAACATTCCATCAAAAAGAAATACCTTTATGAAACTCATTTTAGCCAATTTGACTGTTGAAGAATGTCCGTTCATTCCCTTAAACATTGAAAGGATATAGTTAAGTTTTATAGTTTTAATTATTATTACTACTATTGCCTCATATTAATTTTTATTTATTTTCATTCTATATCTTATGTCATTACCCACTAGAAATTTTAATTATTATGTTTATTTTACACTTATTTATTTTTTCTAGAAAAAACTTATTTTTTTAGTTGTATTAATTATATATTTTATAATTTCTTTACTTTTTTAATAAATGCATTTTTCTATTTCCTTAATATTAAACATTTTATACATTGTATTCCTTGCTATAATTAATCTTTTTTATTTCTACAGCAAAATTATATTTTCATTTAATTAACTACTTATTTATTTAATTTTCCTTGAGAGTAGTATTATTATCACAAAGTAGCATGATACATGTATTCCCTCCTTTCTTTTCTCCCTGCTATTATCTATCTTACTGTTCCTCTAACTAAACTAGGAGGAGAAAAAGAAAGATAAACAATTTGACTGCCTAATGGTGTGATTGTTTTTAGAATAACGCTTCAAAACTGGCAAATTAATAGTCAGAGATCTTGCATTTAGCAATCTGGTAAATAAAATAAAAAAATTTACTAGGTGATGCAATATCTATGACCACGACTGTATATATTTATACTTAAACAAACTAAATGCAGTTGATAATACAATTTATTTAGTATATATAACTTTAAGAAAAAGAAATAATCCCTGAAACAAAGAACAATACATTAAAAAAAATAATAGGATCTCCCTTAAAATACCAGATCTTGGCAACTCTGTAAAATGTTTCATTTAAAAGGAAAAATTCGTAATTGTAAACCTTTTGGAAAGATTTAATGACCTAAGTGGTTAAATAGCCTTAACTGTTGTAAAACAAATAAATAAATTGGGTTGTTAAAATGTTTATTAATAGCGAGATTGGATGCAGAAATAGTATATTTCGCTTTTATAATAAATAGTTAATAGTTAAATTATTTAGTGTTGTAAATTGTTGTATGTGGAAATAACTACTAGAAGACTTGAAACAAAAAAAGTCTCAGGGATGAACATTAGACTACCATTAGAACTGTTTAAAGATGGGGAGAAGACTTAAGCCAAATTACTGCAACTATTCCAGAAAACATGGGAGCTGGAAAGAATACCAGACGTTTGGAATATGGATGTAATCTGCTCTGTCCTAAATAATGGCTCCACGTATGAGTGTTGTTATTACAGATGCTTAGCACTCCTTGTTGCCTACGAGGTAATGATCAATATCCTACCAAAGTGGATATAGCCGATTACAAAAACATAATAAACAGCCACCAAGCTGAATATAGAAGAGGAAGGAGCCGAGAATAGACAAATACAAATACCACGGCACCACAATAACTCAATGAATGACTAATGGTTAGAAATAGACTAGTGTATAACAATTGCTAACAGAGCTTTCTTCTCTCATTCACAGATATTGAAATTCAAGAAATCTCAAATTAAGGGTGCACAATGATATGATAAAGCCGGTGTTAATATACGGCTGTGATAACTGGACACTAACCAGCATCCTAGAAATAAATATTGAAAGATTTGAGAGAAAAATCATCCGCATGATAATCGGAGCAGTCCAGGATCAGAGTACTAATATACGGAGGAGAAAGACCTATAAAGATTTGCTTTCAGAAACTGGTCAATCAATATCTCATGATGTGAAGGCAAGGAGGTTAAGATGGGCAGGACATGTAGCTCGGATCAATCTACCTCAAAGCCTCTACACAACAATGAATGCCTCCATAGTTGGAAAAAATCCATATCATCATCATTATGAATGGTTCTACAACTCCTGCAAAGTCGAGGCCTCCCACAATTTCAACTGCCAGTCCTCTCTGAGTAATGCTGCTGCCTTCCAGTTGTGGACACCAAGGATACTTAAGGCATCGGCTTCCACTCCATCAGCCCATCTGAGTCTTGGTCTGCCTACCCGCCTTGTGGCAAAGATCCACTCATCTATCAACTTCCTTAGCACATGTTGTTCAGACATACGGAGAATGTATCCTGCTGATTTTCATTAGCCTCACAACATTGACTTCTTTATATAGCTGCATCAGCTCATTGTTGGGTAGCATTCGTTGCTCCAGATTAATATTTATTATTGGGCCGAATATTCTTCTTAGGACACGACGTTCAAATCGAAGGAGAGTTGTTTCTTGGGCTCTTGACATTGTCCAGCACTCGGATCCATATGTTAGTACTGGTCTGATCAGGGTTTTGTACAGGAGCAGCTTGGTTTTACGCGTGATCACTCTACTTTTGAGATGTCCCTGGAGACCAAAATAAGCTCTATTTGTGCCCATGATGCACCTCTGTATTTCAGAATTCATATCGTTATTCACATTCACTTGCGAGCCAAGGTATATAAATTCTGAGACATCTTCAAAAGTCATATGGAAGGCCAGAAACCAAATGGATTGATTGAATTGACAAAGATGCAATAGCAGATGACTGAAAAAAAAATAGGCAGAGATGGAGAAAGCTAGTTAAAGTGGTAAACGTCTGTAATGCCAACAGACAAAAAAAGTGTTAGGTATGTTTGAGACTGACTATTTTTAACAGAAAAAGTAAGTTGTTATTCCTTACCAAGAAATACATATTATTTTATACCTAGCTCTACTATTAGCAGAAGTGCTGATGTTTCAATTAATTAAATCTTAAAGCTTTGGTTTTTGGTTAACCAAGTTCTATTTATGCTCACCATAGTATAACATGTCTTGGAAAATTTTATTAAATTCACTTTGTAATGTTAATGCCTTTCCAATTAGTCTATTTTCAAATTCTATGATTGTTAACCCGATTCGAGCTGGTATTGATGAATTTAATTAAATGAAACTATATTTTAAGATTTTAGCTTGGTATATCAAACAAATTTTAAATATAAACACCACAATATATTTGAACACAAAATATTTGAATATTGACAAATTTGAATAAATCACACTATATAGTTCACATTGTAACGTTTCTGCCTTGGTTGTTTATCAATTATCAAACAAATTCTATATATGTACGACATAGTATGATAGATATTGACAAATCCATTTTATTTACTTACATTATAAAATTCACATTGTAAGTTTCTGCCTTTCCATTTTATCTACTATTGTATAAATACTACATATGGACATCAACAAATCAGATTCACAGAAAAAAAAAAAATTCAACAATATATGAGAACAATACATCCCTCCATTTACAATTACTGTTACAGTTGATAAAGATATTACAGCAAATATCATATTTTCTTTGTTTTCCAGAACTGCCACACTCTCTAAATCTTGTGAAGTGAAGGCATGTATTTGCTCAATACTAAATATTTATTAAGTCATAACGTTATTGTATATTAAATTAGTCCTGTTATCTCCATGATGTACTTGATACTCGATCGATACTATCTTTCCAGTGGAGTTAAAGGAACAGTGAAGTTAGAGGAATGACTATGCATACCATCCATACTATTTATATCTTATACTTGTACTTATCAAAGTTCATTATTTATTTATATCTTATTATATCACTTTGGGGAGCGGGGTAGCTCAATGGTAGGGTACTGAGCTTCCAATGCAAAGGTCCCGAGTTCGAACCCCGGCTCATGGCAGAAAATTTATTTATCTGTTTCATTGGCCGTGGGGCGACCTTGGGTCAGGAGTCCCTCCTGAGGCTCACCCAGCCTCTATAAAGTGGGTACCCTTAATTAAATAATTAATTAAGGGGAAAAACCTGGCGGTTGAGCGTGATCTCGGTCAAATCACCTCTTTGCACAACCGTTGACCTAGAAACAGTACTGTCCCTAAATAGTACTGAACCCCAGACCCTTCATGGGTTGTAGTGGTACAGGTTTTTTTTTTTTTTTTTTTTTTATTATATCACTTATCCATGACTTACTTATATTACTTTAATCACATTCTATTTGTAAATCATAAATAAAGTTTTAGTAAAAAATTTATATATAATGTATGAGGTATGTTAGAAGAGTAATAAGATTGATTTTGATTTTTTATCAACCATAGTTTTTTGTTTTGTTTTTTTCAAATAATAATCTTGTGCACTGAGAGCAAAAATATTGATTTTGAATACATAACCTTGGCCAGTATTTCTTCTAGACTGGTTCTAATGATATTGGAATCTAAATAGAATGCTTGAATTAAAAATTTTAGTATACAAAGCATATAGAAACAGTGAAAAACTATTTACTGTGTTTTATTTCTGACTACATTTAAAAAATGTGTGAATTAATAGGTTCAGTAAATTTAATCTACTTATTTGGTAGGTCTGATCAGAAATTGAGTCTAGTTGGAAACCCAGGACAACTTCTTAAGCCTCTTCAAACAGAAAATATGTCCTGTGAATATCTTTCATTGGAAACAATGGATAAATGGATAATATGTAAGTAGTTTATTATAGTTTTATGTTAAATTTTTTTTTCATTTGATTAATTGGCTTTCTTTTCATGTTCTTTAATTAATTGAAGTTCCATCTCACAAATTGAAATTGATTGATAATATAATATTCATCCTTCTATTATAACTAGAATTCTGTATTCTGTCTATAAGGTCATGTTGGTTGACCATGTTTGGTAGCATTTTCTAGAGTTCATAAAGAAAGAGGTTTAATTACTTACAGGATCAGTTAATATTTATTTCTTGGTGTTCCTAATAAATGAATTTAGACTATCCCACTGTGTTTAGTGAAGGGAATATTTGTAGGTAGTTGTCAGGGGTTGGCAAAATGACATCACTTGCTGGGCTGATTGCTCTCACCAATACCAATATATTTTATTAACAGATTAATATAGTTTTTTTTTAATTTTATCCACTGTATAAAATCACATCATTTAAAATTACTATGCTAATCTAACCCTTTTTTTTAGTTGGTTTCCTTCTCTGCCACCAACATGGTTTAGCTCAGCTTGATCAAGGTCATAAAATGTGGTTAAGTGCTTTAGAATCCAGTTGGGTGATTGCTTTATTCAGAGATGAAGTGATTTATATACATTCTTACATCCAAAGTCTGTTTGATACCATTAAAGGTTATGGTAAAAGGATCTCAGAAGTAAAAGATTGTTTCAATCATGCCATTCAGAAAGCGTAAGTTTATGATTTTTCTCCCAAAATTAATAAATAAAAAATTGAACCTATGGGTCTATCAAAATATTATATATAGGTTGGTGTTGAAGCAACAGTGAAATAAAAAAGATTTTTTTTTTATTTGTATTTTACTGTTGCTGCATCCCCTAATCATTTGCTCTACAATCAATTATTTCTCCATCAATATAATTTTTGTTATGTGTATAATTTATGGTTAATATTTTGAACTATAAAATTTTCATGTTTAAAAATTTATTCCTTTTTATTTAATTATTATTATTATGTGATTGATTAATTTTTTTTCAACTATATTTTGATATTTTTGTTTTCATTTAAGAACTTATAAACATAGAGAAAGGAGAAAATTTTTGAGAACTGCCTTAAAGGAACTTGCTTTAATACTTACAGATCAACCTGGATTGTTAGGGCCAAAGGTTTGTGAATATTTTAGAATTTGATTTTTTATTCTGGACAGAACAGTTCTTAAAATTTGTAATATCTTAATTATTCTTATTTTAATTATAGGCACTTTTAATTTTTATTGGTCTTTGCTTCGCCAAAGATGAAATATACTGGCTTTTACGGCACAACGATAACCCACCACAGCAGAAAGGAAAAGGAAAAAATTCTGAAGATCTTGTTGACAGACAATTACCCGAGTTACTTTTTCACATGGAAGAATTACGCAGTAATTTATTATAATATAACTACTAATGCACATATTTTTGTTCATATACTTGTGTTCTTTCATTATGCCTTACTGTTAAAAATATATGAGAATGATAAATAATCAAGATTTGCCGTCTGCATATAGTTTAATAGGTTTGCCAACATTTTGACTCAGGCATGTGGTAGCACACAGACTAGGAAGAACTGAGTGAGTGGTATAATCTGGATTTAGATGGAAGTGAGGAAGAGAAGAGGGTGTGGTAACGGTTATTTAACAGAAAAAATATAAATAAAGGTTTCTATACCAAATATAAATGTTAAAATAAAGTAATTAATAACATAAGAATTTAAAAATACATAAGTAGGCTATCTGTGAATAAATAATTGGGAAAAGAACATAAGAGATAAATGTGTGATAATAAAATTTAATTCAAGCTAGAAATAAATAATGTGGTAAAAACTAGAAACTCTTACAGTTTGATTTCAACGTTCTATCTCATCCTCAGACTTTGCCCCATCTGATTATCACTTGTTTCTTTCATTAAAAAATTCTCTCCGTCATAGAACAGAGCAGTCCATTTATAACACAGTAAATAAACCTCAAACAACAAATGAAGAAAAAAGAAGGAACTTATGGGACACCCTAATATACAATGGTGTGAAAAAGTCTTCGAACAAACCAAATCATTATAAAAATGATAATTTTTCAAGTGTTTTTATCTTTTTAATTGTAAACTCATTTAACCATGCGTACATTGTAGATGTAATATATATTTAAATTAGCATTAATTTCAGTCAACAACAAGCCCTGGGACCAATCCATTGTGTCAACGCTATTTTGTCTCTGAATAATGTTACCTTATTGTTCATATTTCACTGCTTTCTTATCCATTACAGTCTTTACTCATTATTGTTAGCATCAAGAGCCATTGTATAAATTCTGTAAAACTTATTATATATGTGAACATTCTTTTAATATTGGAATTCTTCGCTTTTTTTCGGTAATTATATTTATCATTCCATATTTCAAAATTTTTTTTTTTTCCTATTTAATGTTTCTTTAACAGATTATACAGCGGCTCTTGGTGTTAGCAATAAATAGTAGACTGTAGTGGATAACAAAGTAGTGAAATATAAACAATAAGGTAGCATTGTTCAGTGTACAAAGTAGCGTCATACATAATGGATTGGTCTCTTGGCTTGATGTTCGAAGACTTTTTCACACCACTGTATGTTTTGTAAGGTAATTTTTGCTTTTACCAGAGTAACAGGAGTTACAATTAGGGGATGAACATGGGATACAGTAAACTAAATTGGATTGTTGTAGGAGTGGGAAGGTTATTTTTTAAAATTAGATGTATACTGGGAAAATTGGAAGAATATTATTTCTTTATTTTATTGGAAAGAGTAGGATTGCATGGAATTGATCTGTATTGAAAAACTGCTGGTGGTAGTTATGACTGAGCTTTTAAAGAACTGCTTATTATAGATTTGATCAGATGGTCAGGGAAATCATTAGATTTTAGAATCATGTGAAACCTGTTTTATTGTAGATATGAAATTGGACATCCTAGAATGTCAAACTGTGGATGAGGTTTTTGGCCACCTTAATTTTTTGGTGTAAGGGTGTTGGGAAAAATAATTTAAGAGATAGCAAGAATAAGTAGGTTTGGTGTACCAATTGATTTGTATTGGGTTTTTGGTAATAAGGAGATCAAGGAAGAGAAGTGAATTATTAATTTCTATTTCAATAGTGGAATGAAGTTGTTTGTTATAGTAACTGATAGCGTTAAGAGATGTTTGAAATCGTATTAGGGTCAATAAATTTTAATGAATAAAGAAAGTGTCCATAGAAAAGAGAGGTAATATGAAATCTTGCAGTTTGTTGAGGACAATTACGGAAAAGTCAATAGCAAGACAATTTCTCATTGTCTGGCTAGAAATTTGATTAAAATATTGTCGGCATGCCTAATAAACCATATGTACACTGCAAATCTTGACTATTTATCATCCTCATAATTTTAAAATAACAGCTAACAGTATATCCATCTCTATATTAAAAATATAGGCTTAATATTTTAAGAAATTGCTTTGCCAATTATTTTCTGTTTGTAATTTACCAGTTGTTATACTTTTAGATAATTATTAGCTAAGGCTACATAGCCTACTAAATAAATATTAACCAAAATAGAAGTTAATAGGTTTAGAATAAGGGTATGGTGGTCAGATACACATAGATCCTCAAAACCTTAATTTTGGTTCAAGTACTGTAGCTTTTTTTCTGAGTTTATACTTTATTGAAATCAGAAAATGAGTTTAATTTCCATCTGAACTAGCAATAATAATAACCTATAAGCAGATTGAAATCCTGGAATAACTTATAAGCAATTCAAGAAAAAAAACTAAGTTTTTTTTTTCTATTTATGTACACTTTAAAGACTGAAATATACTATTAACACATTTATTATTAACAATTTTTTGGAAATACGTTAATATGTTTATGTATCAATATAATACGTTAATATTGGTATGTTACTGCTAGATGAAATGACATTTTACCTTTTAATTTCAAATTTCTTTTATCTGGCTTTTACATATTGATTTTTTATTACTTTGATTGATAAAGTAGCATTAATTGGATTATATATAAATTATTCAGATTTACTTTACTTTAACTACTTAATTTTTAATTTTTTAGTTTTAGTCCGGAAATATAGTCAAGTAATACAGAGGTACTATATTCAATATCTGACTGGGTTTGACGCTATTGCACTTAATCAGATGATGCAGAACTTGACTGTTTGTCCTGAAGATGAAAGCATTATTCTCTCATCACTATGTAGTACCATTGCAAATTTAAGTGTAAAACAAGGTGTGTGCTTATTATGTTCTTATTACTTTTATCTTAGCTCCATGTGTTCAGATATAATTCAAATTACCATTTTTTAATTATTTATGTTTCTAATACATATATTATGTATAATTTATTATTTGTAATTGAGACATATTGGATAACAGTTTAATTATTACGCATACTTTATTGAAATAAAAATTCAATTAACATTTTCTTTAAAATTTATGTATTCAACTCAATTATGGTTATATCTTGATATATTTTCATGATTTTTAATTTTTAAAATCTTTTTTAGTTGAAGATAATGAAATTTTTGACTTCCAAGGTCTCAGATTGGATTGGTTCCGTTTACAAGCCAGTACATCTGTTTCTAAATCTCCTTTACCTTTGATTGAAAAGCGAGACCTGGCATCTTTACTGGATACTGTAGTTTTTCATACAAAAATGGTAGATTATTTAGATGAAATACTTGTAGAAACCTCGGATCTTTCTATTTTTTGGTAATTAACAAATGTTGAATTCAATTTCTAAAGTGACTTGATATTTCTTAATGTTGATTTTATTGCTATAATTAATAATGATCTTTGTACTATGTAATTGATATTTGAATGTTTTACCTTTAGCTTTTACAATAAAATTTTTGAAGATCAATTTCACATGTGCCTAGAATTTCCTGCTCAAAATCGATATATCATAGCTTTCCCTCTAATTTGTAATCATTTCCAAAGCTGTACTCATGATTTATGCCCAGAGGAGGTAAGTTATGTTTGTGATATATACTACGTTTGATTTCTGTTCAGAATAATAGCATAAATTATTGTTTAGCGACATCACATCAGAGAACGTAGCCTTTCAGTTGTAAATATGTTTCTAGAAGAAATGGCCAAAGAAGCTAAGAATATCATAACGACCATTTGTGATGAGCAATGTACAATGAGTGATAAAGTAAGTATGAATAACATGTATTTAAATATATTATGTTTTATTGTGAAAATTTAATATGTTTAAAGCATTTCAGGGCAAAATAATTTAAGTGCTACAAAACATATTTACAGGAAAATAAAAAGATTGGTGTGTTTCAAGTTCAAACAAGTTTCACTTACTATCCAAGTTTGAGTACAAATTAACTTTAATAAATTTTTAAAATATTACTTCTACTATAAATAAAAACAAAAAATTACCATAAAATACAATAATCCTGTGCACTATTTTATTTTCGATATGTCAAGTTGAAAATAAATTTGAAAAGTTTCAATTTAAGTAATGTTCTTGGAAAAGAATATTTTCTATTCAGTAATATCAAATTAGAAATTATAAACTACCACAATTATTAGTCATGAGTTCTTCATTAATTTCCATTATCATTTAAGACGTTTCATGTTTGATATTAATTTTTCTAAATTCTTTAGCTTTCCAATGATCGATTTTATTACTCTTATTTGTCGATATTACTACTCTTATTTCTGAATATTTATAGCTCCCTCTTTCATGTAAAGAGCTATTACATATCAATTTACAGACCACAGGTACAATTTTCAGTAGAATAGTCCAATTACTTGCTTGTGCTCACAATATTAATATTGTGAAACACTTAAATCTGCTGATTTGGATGCATTCGCGATTTTTGAAGCTGCTGCTAAACGACTGGGGCTGACCATTAATAAAATCTGGCGTGATGCGCACATCACACAACTTTCAGTTACCTCTCTCATTTTAGCAGAAATAATTATTTTCAGACAAAGGAAAGTGAAATTAAAAATAATGGATGGTATGAAACATTATTGAAATTGTCTGACTAATTTTTTAAACGTTTTTATGATATATGTCAGTTTGTTAATGTCTTAACGTACATTATACGAGAATAAATGCTAATTTTTTTTTTTTCTACAAACACCCATTAAAATATAATTTTTGTTCCTTTTTAACTATTTGGAAGGAAAAATATCCATTTTCAGTGCAAAGTCTGATTCCTTCAAAAAACATGGTCCTACTTTTTATTGGAGTTTGTGGTTCGATCTTAACCCAATTATCAATTTGTAGAGCATTTTTAATGGTGTGTTTGTAGAAAAAAAAATAGCATTTATTCACGTATAATGTACGTTAAGACATTAATAAACTGACATATAATATCATAAAAACCTTTAAAAAATTAGAAAGACAATTTCAAATTCGCCCTCAAACCCAGACAACCTATACAAAACTTACTGACAAAGACAAAGGACCCAACACCTATCCAAAACAATAGAAATTTAATTTATGATATCCCCTGTAAAAATTGCGACAAATCATATATAGGAATGACATTGACTGATATAAAAACCAGAATATATAACCACAAAAGTACCCTTAAACCTAATTCAAAAACAGTTACCGCTTTATCAAACCATGCAAAAAACCACAGACATTAAATATATTTTGAAAATATTAAAATACTTCATAAATCAAATCACTGATCAAAGCTAAAAATTTTAAAATCCATTTATATAGCAATAAACAAAAAAAAATGTGCTAAATTCAAAACAGGAAGCGGCCCACATCTCCCAACACTATTCACAAATAATAGCCATCCATAAAAATTCAAATAATAGTAAATTAAATACAGTAGAATAACTTTAATTACCAAATAGTTTCAATAATATAGAGGGTGCTGACAGTAAATCCTCAGTACTCAGTAAGATAGTGTTCGACAAAGAGGAGTCCTGTTCTCGGAGACAGCTGACATGAGACGAAGAACAACAACACTGTTCTTATCCTTTGTTTTTAAAAAGACAAAACTAATAAAAGGTATGGCATGATCTGACAATAATTGGATGGCATTTCAAAAATTATATTGTTAATGTTATTAATTAGCTGTTAATTTATACTAATTTGAGTATTATAATTATAGAGATGAATATGGTGCATGGACACCGAAAGCTTCTCTACAAATAAATTTTAAATCAAAAAAGAGACTGTCAATGGTGAAAAAAATCCTGAACTCATAAGAACGAAAAACAGTCTAAAATTAGCTAATAAGATTCTAACCATAATTTTAAGATAAAAATTTGCAAATTTTAAAAATATTGATTATAATGTCAAGATTCAGATAAACTATTAAAATAATAATTAACTAATTATATATAATATTAAATTAATATTTTAATCAAATTTTATTATTATTAAGACCAATGATAAATATATGGTTTGTTATGCAAATCAAATTTGTCATAGAAAATTTTATATCATTGGTTTGTTTGAATTTAAAAACCTATGATTTCACATTTTATTTCATTTTACTTTTTTTAGCTACCTATAAAAGTCATGAGAGATATCAATATTGTTTAAACATTTTAAATGTAAAAAAAATATCACTTTTTATTTAATTTTTTTTTATTTTATTTTTGATATATTTGTAGGTCATATTACAATGGCAGAAAACAGAACTAACAGTCTCGTTAGTTGTAATAAAAATGGCTTAAATCGGTTCGATGAAACCATTCCACCTCTGAAACTGTTCGGAATGGTTCCACCTGGAACAGTCTTTCTTGTTCTGAGTGGCCTTGTATCCCATCCTGGAATGGTTCCACCCAGAACGGTCTTTTTCATTCCATCCAGAACGCTCATCCTCGTTTGGAGGGGCTTTGGAATCTTGTTCCATCGGAATGTGAACGCTTATACGTTCAATTAGATTGTGTTTTCGTTCCAATCTGAGATTTCATTCTAGAATCCGCTTGGAATGATTATGATATGGATTAAAATGGCTATGTGTATTGTTATTTTTAGTTTAAATTAGTAAGTCTTAAATTAATAAAATTGTGCATATAATAAAAAAAGCAAATTAGAGAACAGAAATGAATTTTTATTCGCTAATATTTTTCTTTAACTTGTGGTAAGATAATATTTAAGGAAAATTAAGACAAATATATGAATTTTGTCAACCGAAAAATAGTTTTATTAAAAAAATAAAGATAAAAATAAAAAAATCTATAATATAAAATTTAGAATGAATTAAAAAACCAAAAAGGTAAAAACTTTTTATGAATTAATTCAGAAATTGAAATTTAAAAACAGCAATTTTTACTTTATCAGCTGATAGTGGAGTCAGACGTTCGTTAATCAACATGCCACTTTTGAAAAGATTTGTTGACATGGAACCGAAGAGGCTACTGTACTCAACATTTCTTTGGCATTGATGTGCAAATTAGGGTAGTTATTCTGCAGACCAAACCATCACTTAATATGATCCTCTTTGTTGTATAAAATATCCTTTTCTAAGTACTTGTTTAATTCAATCATTGCCTTTGATTCAGGTATCCCACTTAGAGAATGTCGCTCTCAAGCTCTCATCAATGTTCTTAAAACTTCCAGTTCGCTTTTTGTTTTCTTTTCTTCATTTTCCTGTACCCCTCTCTGTTTGGAGAGATTGGAATTGGAACAAATTCCAGTTTTAAAAAATTCCCAGGGTGGCGACCGATCTGGAAAAGTCAGGGAATTTTCAAAACCGGGAAAAGTCAGGGAAAAATTGTTGAAGTCAGTGAATTTTTAAATTGGAATTAATATACAGTGGATTAATATAACGACCGTAAGAGACCTGGTAAATTTCATTGTTATAATGAATAATTGTTATAGACGACTGGACCATCTTCATATTTATATCGTTATATAATCTATATCTATCCACTTGTCACTGTCAATAATGGTCCTGGCCGTTATATTGGAATTAAACAAGGGTAATGAATAAAATGGAGTTAAAACAGTGCTTTTTAAAAAAGAAAAAGATAACTATACTAATTACTATTTGTAAGTATACATCTATTTGTTGGTTAACTGAAGGAGATCATTGGCAGCTTCATAATTCATGCTTAGGTAGAGTCGTAATATGCCAACAAGCAAAATGTCGTTGGATCGCTCGGACTTTAAAACGCATTTTGGTCCTTAATTTTGTGATGATTGTTATGCATGTCAACAGAATATATAAAAGCTATGTATAATATGTATACATCCTAGTTCTCTTATAAAATAGTTAAATTAGCTGAAAATAAAGCATTGAAAAGATAAAAAGCACTTAGTTTGTGAGTGGCAGATACTACAAGGGAAATACGACTTCGATTCTCTGAGCTTTAACAGCTGTTTAATCTTCTTACATATTAACGTGTCTGTATGAGGTACATACGAAACTTACTGCTCTTTCAAATTGATTACATTGAATTTCTTCGGTACATGCATGGATTATGAGTTTTGGGGGAAAACCGACACAATAGGTTTTTCTTGTGAAAATGCAAACAGTCAATATTCTCTTATTGCTCACCCGTTAGCCCTACATCAAAAATCTATGCATAAAACTGATAGTAATTTTATCTTCTTTAACGTTGTATATAATAATAATTTCGATAAAATGCACAGCAGAGTCATGTCCAAAAAACTAAGAAAAGTTCCGAAATTTTGATATTTTTGCGTATATCTCGATACGCAATGGAACATTTCGTTCAGGAAAGTCAAATTCAGATCAATGTCCCAAAAAACATAAAAACCGAATAGTAATAGACTATTTTAATTTTTTCTTCAACCAATTACCATCCGACTGCCTAATGTGATGACTTGGACGCCGTCGATCAAGGTGTATTCTTTTAGAAACATTTTCTTTAGTCCTCGGTTAGATTCGCAGTTTTTTCAAATTGTAACATTTATGTTGAATTCTTGAGCCAAGATATTATTAGACTCTTCAGTCTCCAGTCGGGAACATTTATAGAATTATTCTTATAAACTTATTGTTCTTTGTTATTCTTATTAAACTACTAAACAGAAATGTGAATTTAACACTAAAAGTGGGAATGAAATTGGCCCTATAAATGTGATTCTTACATAAAGAATGAATGAAATAAAATATTTCCTCGATAAGTAAGATATAAACAAGAAGGTTTTTAGGAGTTCAGCTGTCACTATACACGATGATTTTTCTAAAAACT